TTTTTTTTTTTTTTTTTTTTTTCGGAACGATAGATTTTATACCTCGAAAAATAAATGTACAAGCGGGTTAAAGAACCCAATACAAAGATCCAACTGGATAACAGAGGGCACCAGGGGTGCACTACATCCTACTAAGAAAAAGAGTATAGAGAACAACTCCCGGCAAAGACGACGCAATGAGCCCGGATAGTTGCTACATCATACCCTGCTGTCGACAGCGACAGTCTAAATGAAAACAAAGTGACAACCACTGCCCTACATGGCCTAGTTGACACCAACTATACAAAACAAAACAAGATAAAGCATCCTAAGAAAAGCAGACTAAGAAGAAGCAACCTAACTAAGAGCAAACAACACAAATAGATAATAATAAAGCAAAAAGAGCTAATAAACTAATGGGATCACAAGTAGAATCTTGTAGAACCAGCATCCAATTTGAAGAGATCTTCTATGAAGCTCAAAAGAACCAGCCCTGGCACATCAACCCACAGACCTTAACCAAGATTATCTCCTTAGCTTAATAGTACCTGTCCAGCAATACCCAAGTAGCCTTCAATTCCCACAAGCAGCAAGATACAAAACAAGAAACAATCAGGCAACCCTCAAAGCATCATCAAATCACAAAACACCACAATAGAAATCAGCACCATATCCTACTTCAACCAACAACCCCACAAGAGTATTAACACAGCAGCACAAGAGCTATCCATATAAGATAGCAACCCAGAAAGCAGTACACAAGGACATAAGCACCCAAAGGTGGCCAACAGCAAGAAGAATCCACAGCAAGTGAGGATTGTTTTAAGAGAGTGAAGAGCCTGAGTATTCAGCCCAGTTGGTAAGGGCTGATTGAACAATAAATCTCTCTGGTTTCTTGATCTGATGGAAAGTCCAGCAATTTCTAGCCTTCCAAATTTCCCAGAGCAGATAGATAGTGAGGTGCAGCCTGTCATTTGAGATAGCAGAGTTGTTAACTTCACAGAGTTGTGTCCACCAATTTTTGAAGGATGAGGAGTCAATGAATTGTCCATCCCAGCTCAGAGGAGCCAGTGCCCATATCAATTTGGTTTTAGGACAGTTAAACAGAAGGTGTTCAACTGTCTCCACCCCTTCTCCACACCCTTTGCAGATTGGATCTAGAATAACTTTCTTTTTCCAGAGATTAGTGGCCACAGGGAGAGTGTTATTGATACATTTCCATAAGAAATGCTTAAGTTTCCCTAGGATTTTAAGGCTCCAACTTCTTCTTCTCATTTTCTTTGTAGCTCGCTGACCCCTACTGCTTTCAGCAAGATCAAGTGATGACCATTTCCCCTCCATTAGACTGGAATAGACCTTTGAAACAGAGAAGCTGCCATCATCAGTGCCCTCCCAAATCAGTCTGTCCATGCAAGTAGGGTCAAGCCTCTTTATTTTGAGAATGGCACTGATTTCAGCAGGTGAGAAGATTGAGTGCAGAATGTCCATATTCCAGTGCCTACCAGTGTCATCAATGAGTTCGCATACCCATGTAAGGCCACATTGATCTTGTCTGTTGGCAGCTTGGTTGAGTTTAGGGATGAATGGGATCCATGGTTGGCTCCAGATATTAATCCTTCTGCCATTTTTGATTTCATATCTCAGCCCCCCCTTAAGTGAGTCCCTAACTTCTAACCAACTATTCCATAGCCAGGAATTGCCTTGTTTCTTTGAGATGTTGAAAAAGCTGTCTTTAAAGAAGTATCTGGCCTTTAGGACCCTGCTGACCAGAAGATTGGGCTTTGATAAGATCCTCCAGATTTGTTTGGAAATAAGAGCCCTATTCATGAGGTTGATATCTTTAAACCCCAATCCTCCTTTGTCTTTAGGGACAGTAATGGAAGACCAAGACTTCCAGTGGGTACCTTTCTTATGATGATCACCATTATTCCACCAGAATTCAGCAATGTGCTTATCAATGCAGGCCTTAGTGGCTTTTGGTAAAAGGAAGCAGGACATTGTGTACACTGGCAGTGCGTTCAGAACAGAGTTGATGAGCACCTCTTTACCTGCAGTTGACAAGAACTTTGTTTTCCAGTTCAAGATTCTATTTTTAACAGCTTGTTCAACATAAGCAAAAGTGTCAATTTTGGATTTTCCCAGACCAAGAGGTAAGCCCAAGTATTTAGAAGAAGAATGCATTGAAATGCCCATTAGGGTGTGACAGATTTGGGATTGAACGTGCTGGGGTGTATTTTTACTAAAGAAAATAGAGGATTTGGAAAGATTAACTGACTGTCCAGTGAAGAACTGGTACTTATGAAGGATATCAAGGAGAAGGAGAGCTTGATCATTGGAGGCTTGCCCAAGAAGAAGAGTATCATCTGCAAAGAGGATATGAGAAAGGATAGGCCCATTTCTGCTTATCTTGAGGCCTTTCCAATTACCATTAATGACCTCGCTGTTAATAAGGCTAGAGAATATTTCAGAAACAAGAATGAAAATGTAGGGAGACAGAGGGTCTCCTTGCCGAATTCCTCGACTAGCCTGAATAAACCCTTTGGGATCACCATTAACATTAAAGGAGAAACAAGAAGTGGATAAACAAGCCATAATCCAATTAATAAAGCAGGAATTGAACCCTAATTTGCACAAAATTTGGCTAACACAAGGCCATTCAACTCTATCAAAAGCTTTAGACATGTCCAGCTTGATGGCCATGTAATAGGTGTTGCCCGATCTATGCCTATTAAGAAAATGCAAAGATTCATGCGCAATAATAACATTATCAAGAATTTGCCTTTCAGGAATGAAGGCTGATTGGCTATCACTAATGCAGAGGGGGAGCCATTTTTTAAGCCTGTTGGCAAGGATTTTGGAAATAGTCTTATAGAAAACACTACAAAGACTAATGGGCCTATAGTGGGAGACAAAATCAGGGTTTTGAATTTTGGGTATGAGGGTGATCAGAGTATGGTTAAAGCCTTTTAAAATTCTACCAGAATCAAAGAAGCTAGAGATAGAATAACAAAAATCAGATTTAATGATATCCCAGAAATGCTGAAAAAATGCGGAAGTCATACCATCGAGGCCAGGGGCTTTGTTTGAGTCAATGCTGAAGAGGGCTTCCTTAATTTCAGTCTCATCCACCTTGGTCATGATCTCAGTATTCATCTCTTCTGATATTACAGGTTGGATGTTCCTCAACAAGTGATGCCCCCCTTGTGATCCCTCGGTTGCAAACAGTTTAGAGTAGTAATCTTCAATACAACCAGTAATCTCCTCTTTAGTGACACACAGTGTGCCATCCTCCTTATGTAGCTTGGTTATATTGTTGATTCTTCTTCTTTGAGCAGTTTGGGCATGGAAATATTTCGAATTTTTGTCTCCATTCTGTAGCCAATGTACTCTTGCTTTCTGCCTCCAATACTGCTCCTCAAGGTGATTTTCTTTATTCAGTTCTCTTTTGCAATCCTCCCAAATCTGCCAGTCTCTCCTGTCTCCCTTTACTCTCTGCTGGGCTAAGATGTTACTGAGGCACTCCATTTTTTTTTTCCTGTCAGAGTTAAAAGTCCTGCTCCACTTCAGTAGTTCAACCCTTGTATTTTTAATTTTTGAATGGAGGTTGAACATAGGAGTTCCAATTGGAGAGGAGTCCCAGGCTCTAGCAATAACTTCTTGGATTCCAGGCTTAGAGAGCCATCTTTTATCAAAAAGAAACCTTTTCTTATGCTGAGCGTGAGCTGGCTGAGGTCTGAGGAGTAGCAGACTATGGTCTGAGGAAGATCTAAACACATTAAGGACTTGAGCTGATGAGTAATGTGCTGCCCAATGAAGAGAAGCAAAAATTCTGTCTAGTCGTTCTTCTACATAGCCCTCCTCTGATCTGTTGTTCTCCCAAGTAAACTGGTGTCCAATCAGGCCTAAATCTTGTCCCCCCAGTTTGTGGATAAAGTCATTGAATTGTCTGAAGGAGGAGTTGAGTCTGGTTCTTCCCCCCCTTTTATCTTCTTGGCTAGCTATCTCGTTCCAATCTCCTCTCACAAACCAAAAGTTGCCCCAGTTATGTTTTTCCTGAAGGATAAACTCTCTTTGCTCAAGTCTGGTGGTGATGTCTGTACTGGCATATATAAATATTCCCCAACAGGATGCTTGCAAGTTTGGATCCCAAAAGTTAACTTGAATACAAAAGGAGTTTTTAAGGATTTGAATTATTTTTGTGGCAGAGTTCCAAAAGAGGAGAAGACCTCCACTCTTGCCCTTTGGCTCAAAGGAGGACCAGTTATCTCCTAATCCTAAATTCCTACAAACAGTTTTGACAAAGCAATTATTTTTTTTTTTTGTTTCAGACAAAAAGGTTAAAATTGGGGTGTGGAGTCTAATACACTCCTTGAGTTGGGACACTGTAGAGGGGCCACCCAACCCTCTACAGTTCCAGAAGATAGTGTTCATTGTGAGGGGTGGGGCCATTCTGGGCTGGCCTCCCTCACCACTGACAAGTCAAATTTTTGTTTTTTGGGGCACTGGATATGATCATCTGTATCCTCCACAGGATAGAAGGATAAGAGTTCAGGGTTGTTAAAGTTTGTAAGGTGTCTTTTGCCACTGGTAGGAAGAAGGGAAGAGGTAGGGTTTACTGAGGAAGAAGCCGTGGGGTTTTTCTTTCTTTTCCAGGTTTTGCTTTTTTGGGGAGGTTTAGAGGAGATGGAGGTAGGGGATAGAGAAGGAGTTATTGTATTATCAGGGTTGAAGTTTATGATTTGCGAGGGGTTGATAGAATGAGAAGGGATGAGATGGACTGGATTAGAAGGAGAAGTTTCTGCCATCATAGGAATTGGTTGATCATTCAGAGGGGGATTAATGTTTTCTGACTGTTGGTTTGGGGGAATGCGAGAGACAGAATGGTGAGCTTCAGGGGGGTGGGTTGGAGACTTAGGGGTAGACTGAGGAATATTATCTGGGATAATGTTTGAGAGATTAGTGGAGTGGGGAGGTTTCGAAGGGGAGCTATTACTGGGAATAGGGGAGTCTTGTTTGGTAGTTTGAGAAGAGGGGGAGTTGAGATGAGGGTAGTCCTGGGCTTTGAGCCATTCACCAAACCAGAATGATACATCGCCACTGTTAATATCGTATTGAAATATCGCCACTGTTCAGTTCGCTGAGCTCTCATAAGCCATAAATCATTTCAATTTTTAACTAACGAGAATGATACATAAATAAAACAAACACAAAACTTTAAATTGTATGTCAAGAAACAAATTTATCAAACACGAAAATAGTGCAACTAAATTGTCCAGTACAAAAAATTCCCAAACAAAAGTAAAATCTCCTCAGTATAGAGTGGGATGAAGCACTTCTGGAGCAAAGGGAAATATCAAGAATGTTGATGGTTTTTCATTTTTGAATCAGCTTTGCCCAGTAAATACATGTGCAAAAATAAGATAATCAAATTAACTAAAGTCAAAAACCTAAACCAAAAAAAAAAAAAAGTCATACTATTTGTCTTCTAGTACTGAACTGGAGCTTCTGATAGGCAAACAAAGTATATCTCATAAGCTCAATTTCAACCCCACCTCACCAATAATCCCCACACGAACACGACCCACCCATAAAATGATGAAAACGGTTCGTATCCCGAACCACAATCTCCCGACCCGTAATCCTCGACACCACCTTGATCATCTCATGACAGTCCCCACACACCCTCAGATTCTTCACAATACGAATCACCGTCCCATCTCCCGTGCTAATCAGCCCGAACGCAAGCGCCAGCTTCTCACTATGACACCCGAGAAAATGCTCCTTCTCCTCCTCATCAATGTCAAACAACACATACTCAGTAGTCGGCATATACCCAGCTTCCCTCACCTCTTTCCCAAGCTCCCCCAATTTCTCGTATATTCTCCCCGATTCGGGATGCGAAGTATCCCCCACCAAAAACTCGTGCACGAACCCATTTATCTCAATCCAACTATACGCGCTCACTTTCTGAATACCCTTCTCCCTCATAACTGACCGCATTTTCTCCGACTCCCCCCATTTCTTATTCGCCGAGTAGAGATTTGACAGAATTACGTAATTCCCCGAGTTCCACGGCTCGAGCTCGACTAGCCGCTCGAGCACGTGCTCGGCTAGCCGCGTGTCCCGGTGGAGTCGGCACCCGCCGAGGAGGGCTCCCCAGACGACTGCGTTGGCCCGCATAGGCATGCTCAGTACGGCCTGGTGGGCCTCGTCCAAAAGCCCTGCCCGCGCAAGGAGGTCTACCATGGTTCCATAATGCTCGATCGTGGGGTCCACCGAGTAGAGTCGGGTCATGGATTTAAAGAGGCGGCGGCCATCGGTTACTAGGCCCGCGTGGGCGCACGCGCAGAGGAGACCGAGGAACGTGTTCTCGTCGGGCCTCAGCCCGCATTTCTGCAGAAGCCCGAAACAGGCGAGCGCGGCCCGTGATTGGCCCGTCATGGCTAGCCCAGATATGACTGCATTGAAGAGAACGAGGTCCCTTGCGTGCATGGCGGTGAAGACTTCCCACGCGGATTTTATTTTGCCGCACTTTGCGTACATGTCGACGAGAGCTGTGCCGACAACTGGGTTTTTAATGAACTCTTTTTCTTCCATCATGGCGCGGGCCCGCTCACCGAGATTCAATGCGCCTAGACGAGCGCAGGCCGAGAGAACCCCGACTATGACGTAACAATCGGGTCGCAAACCGTGGGCCAGCATGCGGCGGAATATTTCTAGGGCCTCGTTCGGGAGCCCGTTTGCCGCGTAGCCCTGGATCACAGCACCCCACGTGACCATATCTCGTTCGGGCATTTCGTCGAAAAGCGTGCGGGCCCTCACCATGTCCCCGCACTTGGAATACATGTCCACCAAGGCTGTATTCACAAACACGTTACTTCCCATTCCCATCTCTGCCACGCAATTGTGAATCCAACGCCCGGAATTCAGATCTCCTTGCTGGGCACAAGCTGACAAAGCACGGACAAGCGTGTAGCTGTCGGGCTTCGAGCCCGTTTGCAGAGACTCTGTAAAAAGATTCACCGCCTCACGATATTTCCGGGCTCTGATGTACCCGCCCATCATTGCGGACCACGAGACGACGTTCTTCTCGGTAATATCGTCGAACACCTTGCGGGCGTCTTCCAAATTGTCCAATTTGGAGTAAAAACCAACCAAACCGGTCTTCAAGAAAACATCGTCGTTGTAACCTGCTTTGACTGCGAGAGAGTGGACACTGGTGCCCAACTCGCCGTCCATGGTCCAGGCGCACGACTTGAGGACGAAAGGGAAAGTGTTGTTGTTGGGCAGGAACCCGGCTCGGCGCATGGAGAAGAAGAATTCGATGGCCTGGTCGAAACTGTCTCTCGAGGCGAGCCCGCGGATCATGGTGTTGTAGAGGTAGACGTTGGGCTCGTGGGCCTGGCCGAACACGGCGGCGGAGTAGGTCGGGCGGTTGAAGTGGAAACCGGATTTCAACACCATGTTTAGGAGGTACTGGTCACGGTGGAGGTCCAGGCGCAGGAGGCGCGCGTGGATGTGTTTGAGTTGTGCGAAGGACGCGAAGCCCTGAAAGAGGGCGGCTTTGACCGCCTGCAAAAACGCCATGGATAAAAATGTAAAAGCTTGCAACACGCCATGGGTGAGTGAGATTTTAAAAATATGAGAATATGTCGTCACAGTTAGTACCTCGACGGAGCTCATTTTTGCAGATACTCTTCACCCACTGTCTAAAAACTGTTCCATCGTTTTTGCACTTGCCCGATGAAGAAAAACTCGTATAGATTGCGTGTGTATGAGAATTAAATTTAAAAAGAAGATATAAAACTATATTTGCACATAATTCTAAAGCCTGGACAGTGACGGACTGGATTCTTGTTCACATAATTTTATAAACTTTTAAATTTCATTTATATTATTTATTTATTCTTTATGGGAAAAAAAAAAGTGTGTTTAAGTAACAAAAACTAAAAAGCAAAATATAACTTACCATACATTTCCACTAAAACTAAAACGATGAGTTATTGTACAATTCCGATAAGTATTAACAAGAGTACAGGACAACACAAATATGCATATTTTGTCATAAATTATCATACTTTGAATAAGCATTTTGATTCTTAAAATATCATACTTTGTCATAAATTATTTTGATTCTTTCGAAACGGCAGATTGTATAGCTTCCACATAAATGTTCAAAACACCATTTATTTTCAGCCATTTTACATTTAGGCCTCAGCTCCTTTTCACCATGATAGCCCTCTGAATCTATCAAACACTTTCAGCCACCAGTTTGGACGGTAGGTATCCAAGGGATTCCCATATTTTAGCCTGACTCACCATCTTTATTTTCAAACCGAAAGCAAGTTCTAAAATTGTGATTTTGATGTTACATTAGAATAAATTAAGACCTGAAAGTAAAACAGCAAAACGTCACTTACCAAAAACTGATAATTATTCTAAATAGCAACATTCCATATTATCATGGCATGGCATTTATATTTTAGTCCACAAACAGGTAATTCCCCAGATCTTGAAGCATCTTGTACAGTTGCTAAAACTTAGGCTATAAGAACCTTAATATGGTACAAGTTCTTGTTTCTTGATCTGTTTAGGATCAATCCTCCTTCCTCTCCAGCAATATGCAGGCTCAAGGACCGTGTTCTACTCATCAAGACGCACTATTTTACTGTGTAGTGTATTCTTGACGTGAGAATTACCGAAGCCAACCTGATAACAGACAAATTGCTGAGATTACTTGCATCTTACAAAACGGCATCTTCTTAAAATGGATTCTTTTAGAGACTACTTTCTTCCCAAGATTTTTCAATGTACTGGTGTGTTGATATCATGAACGGCTCATTCACATTCAACATTGAAAAGAATGCTGATTCAAGTTCCCGATTTAAGTTTAAATATAAAATATGCAGTAAAAATAAAATGACAGGAAAGAAAGAAAACGAAAAAAGTTGCACCAGGAGAAGTGTCTCATCAAGATTGCTGGTAGGTTGGTATTGGCACCCCTGATCCTGCGGTGAGTTCTTTATAAGCATTTTGCAATTGTCGGGTAACGGGGCCCACTCTACCATCACCAATAACACGTCCATCGATTTTTACAACCTGATCAATTGAAAGAAAGATACAGAGGTTTCGAGTTTTTCAGGGGGTACAGCAAATTTAAAGCAGTTAAGGTTTCCTTGGACACATAATGTAATGCTTTAATAAGAAATACTTACTGGACTGAGCTCTCCCATGGTTCCCGTTGTGAAGACCTGCAGCATGCAAA